TAGACATCATATGCTGCTCGTACGCAACGTAAGCCAAGTAACGAACGACTCGTTCAAGAGCAGATTTCACGGCGCACTGTACCGGCCTTCCGCTAGATGCCCAATGGTACTGCAGGTGTTCAAATGCAATGAAGTCGTGACCTGCTTAAATGGCCCCCTAAGCAACAAGGAGCAAGGGGACCGTCAAACCTGGTCTTGGCGGAGTCATTCGTTCTCTGATCAGTTTTTAAGTAATTAATGAACCCGATAATTAACAGATTAGCTCTGTGTGCATTCGACAACTCGCCATCAGTTACACACTTTTCGACCGACTAACGAACGTCTGAAAGGCTCTTATTTGCGCCGTTTTCTAGCGATTAGTACATCCGCGTGAACAGTCGTTCTTTGCAAGCGTTCATCGTTCCGGCTAGCGCGAAGTGGTTGTTTACAGACGTCAAGAAAAAGCGGATAGGAGAATGGATTTCTGAAATGTGCCACTAAACAAAATGTTTGTCGGCGACTGCGTTCTGAATCGCTTAACGACAGAATAAGAATCTAATAGTCAATCACGAAGATTAACATCTGCTGGATCCAATTAACTTCGAATATTCTAATATTCCTTTTACGGATACCTACTGCTACGTCTGACGTTGTAGCTTTCAAGTACTCAACACGGTGCCTTCAAAAAAAACAAGTCAATGGAACTACAAGGTAATGCAGGCTAATTAAGTCTCTCTGAGGCTAGGCTGAACATTCGGAGGTTCCTTTCTGAGCTTAAGAACTGTCCTCGATACCGTATCTGCTAACCTGGATACTTTCGCCGCCTAGTGCCCGCGGAATGTGCTGCGCACACGGAACAATAGCAGCATAATCTACCATCGCCAATAATCATCTTATGACCAGGCGACGGATGGCACGAGTCACCGATTCTGTCATCTCCTCCGACCTTGTGCAATCCTCGTTTAATATAAATATTTTCACTGTGCACAACTGAAGCAGGCGAAGAATACAGGCGTGTAGCATTAATGAGCAGGGTATCCCTTTCAAGAAAAATAGTACAAAATGGTTTATTAATACATAACGCAATACGGCGCTTTGTCGAGTGCTACCTGTCTGTCATCCGATACATCACTTTATTACGTTATGTACAGATAACTGTGTTGGTATTATTTTTTTCAAACCACCAACGCATGAACAAAAGAGTGTATCTTCAGAACCTTCACCACAACAGTACTGTCATGAAAGTATGAATGCCTCTGTAGGAGCCATTAGACTGGCATCGTTAATGGCAGTTTCGAGACTCATGGCAAACCGACATGGTCATCAGCGGATGACGAGAATATTCCATGGAATTTCGACCATATTTCTTCATTTCACCCTGTGCTGATTAAATCTGTTGTCAGACTGATCAAGCTCTACTACATCCGTAAAGGAAGGCTCGCAGCAAGAAGCATCACGAGAACGCTCGTAAGTGTGGGATAATGACACTACGAACCCATGCTGTCTACACTGTTCGCAGGTCATTGAATTATGACACATTTTTCGGCCAGTTTCACCAAAGCACAGTGGTATGAATTCGTTGTTCAAAAAAAATAGCCATCGGTGAGAAAATTTTACGATGTGGTCATATTCGAACATGCATCTATGGCTTCCAAAGATGAATGACCTCTTTTTGCGTCATCCCTCGCCCCAAACTTTCCATACACCGTTTCTTTCGCGCATGCTTCTCGTCTACAGTCTTAACAAAGCTCTAACTAAGCAATGTTGAACTGTATCAGGTACGTCGAAGCTGAATGACCATTGCGTCACGACCAGTAGGCAAATATCCTGACCAAGTGACGCCTACAGTAAACATCCTACACGCCACATATTCTCTAATAGATCGATGGAAATTATACGGTCATTGTCTTCTTACTGTACTCTTGTTAACAGGGTCTCGCAACATGAGTTAATTTTTCCACATTCTGCGTTTTTGGTAAGTCTTGGGTCGGTCAGTGCAACTTCGTGTTGATCAAATATATAGGGTTGTGTCATAACAGGACTAAAACAGACCGAAAGCATAGAAAATCTTCTTTCTAAATTTACGAAGAAAAATTCATTCGTTCTCCTTTCACCTCACCGGATTTACATGGCGTAGCCCGTTACCATGCTTCTAGTAGTCTAAAGGACCGTTGAAACAGGCCACGGCTCCGTGGCATTATAACCCCTGCAGCAAATGGGCGTAAAACAGAAAACAGCACCATCTACTGGGTCGAACGAACAAATTTTCTAACGTGCAAAAATGCCACTGAGCCGTGGCCTGGTTAAACGGTTTCCTAAGCTATCAGAAGCAAGAGGATGGTAACCTGCGCCGTGTAAATCCGGAGAAGTGAAAGGAGAATTTTATTCTTACCGACGGTATTAAAACCTAGCAAAAGTTTGTTAGCAAAGCCATAATAGTGGGGTTTGTTTTTGGCATCAATCGACTCAATTTCTAGAAATGAGTACCTCAACCGACCGATACTTTGTGAGAATGTTAGTATTTAAACGTGTTTATACATAGGAGGAACAATTAGCGCTCATTTAATCTGGACAGAACGATTCGAGGTAACCGAGCGACAACGAAACACGATGTAATGTTATTGAGATTTACGTAATATTACGTTTTTGTCCACAAACTTTTGCAGAGAGAGTACCGCAGTGTCAAGTCATATGAAACAGTCGCTCAATGAAAGGCGCGTCATTTTTAAACCTTTTCCTATGAGTGACAGTCGACACAGCGTTATGAAACTCAACTTCGGAAAAGAGCCACAGTTAGCAAAACGCGTGACTTATATAGCCTATATGGTGTGTGTAAGTGTGAAAACATGCATGGTCGTCAATCTTTATCGATTCACTGCTAAATGAAGTCGTTTTCATGATTGTGTCAGAAAATTCTGCTTTTCGTCATGCTGATCAACAAACTTCTTCAGCTCACCTTACCATCGATCAAACGGTCTTCCCATGGGCCGTGTACCCTCTCTCCAAACCCTGTCTAACGCCTCTCTGCTCCAGCGATGGTCGGTTCTTCCTGCAGCATGTTCTGTTCATCGCCCACCTTAGCGTCTGCACTCATCACAGACTCGTTTATGCCCTTACCCATTCACTGTCGTGCTATCTTTCATTGTTATTTCCAACATATACTGTTCCATGTAGTGTCGCGCAGTTTATGAATAACTTACAGCATTCTGATCGTACCCACAGGTCAGAACTGAATAAAGACCTTCCTTTTCAACCAGAACAGCAGTTTGCTGGATAAGAACATTTTCAATCCTTCAAAAGTACTCCGTACCATTTTTACGTTGATTTCTCAAATTTCGTAGTCCATTCCCGGGATCAGCTATTTCAGATAGAGGTAGTTTTGCAACTCTTCAAATGTGACGACATAATATGACACGTAAACTTCTAAAACCAAGCTTGTGACTATACCATATACATATAAATAAGCCAAAAGGCTGCGAAATGTAATGACCTTCATTTATACTCAACCACCTGAGCATTCATCGCTCGACTGCTAAAGCGATTTTTCTTTTGGACGGAGAATTCCTGTGCCACATCTTTACGAAAACTGCGCTACTGGTTAGTGAGAAGTCAAAAAAGAAAGTATTTAACAGTAAAGTTTGCTTTGAATATCGGTGTCCCCGACACTTTTATGACTGGTAGATATGTGTGGTAACCCTTTAGGTAACGAAGTTCATGGTGCAGCGCTGACATCCATTTCCATGTCATCAGCCAGGAATTTCTTATTTTAAAAGCAGAGTGCAGCAGCCATGTCGCAAAGATAATCTCTTGCTTCCTTCCCAAAGAGTGATATTTATTTATATGAACCTCGAAAGAAAGGCGAATGACCTCTCGGTCCCGAATCGGACCCTGCACCTACTGGGCAACCCCTTTCTAACAGTCAGTCACTGTTAAGACTACGTTTGGACGGGACCAAACTAACGCGTCCGGGAGTTGCACAACGATAATCAGCTCTGCGGGCGAAATGAAAAAAGGTAGTGCAGGAAAAAGCCGATCGTCACGATCGTCATACAAACGGGATTGGCGCAGGCTCACCTCCGATGTCGCCGATGTTGGCTGCCATGCGCCACAGGCCATAATCCGCAAAATGAGGCTTGCCTGAGAGTCACACGTCGAGGACGAACAACGGCTCATTTCGCTTACACCGTTTTTGCGTCATTTCTTCAACTACCGCTGCGCCGCTCTCCAGTTTTCTCCGTTCTTGCGCCGGTGTGTCGTGACAAAGATGAGTATGAGGTACAAACCGGGCGCCAGGCATTGCGCGCCAAACTGGAGGATCAACGGCAAAACCTAAGCGCCTTCAGTTACGACTTAACGTCGACATCCATGCGTCCATCAGCCGCTAACATATGACAACTTTACGATGGACGGTATTAACTTTCAAATGCATGAGTTTCCAGTGAGGCCAAGCGCACTCGACGCAATCGCGCCGCGCTGGCCGGTCGACAACAGCCGGCAACGGCTATTTTTTTTTTAATTTTTTTTTGGGTTCGTAGGTCAGAGTATTTTAATAAGCTAAGGTCACACCGTCAGTTAAGCATTGAACACACAATCGAAATTTCGTGTGTGCGAGTCCCGGGCCGCGTCATCCGTCTTTCATTTTTCCGAAGTAGATATACGAGTACCACTCTATGGGAATTATACATGATACTACATGATAAAAGATACGGTGGTTATCTAGTTGTAAATACAGCAATAAAACCGCAAAGCAATGAGCATCATCTGGCTGGTGACAACATAAAAAAAAGACTGACGCCCCTCCATACGCTGCATAAAAAATGAGTACCATAAATGGTGCTCAACCGTGAAACAGTAAATGGACAGTGGCACTCCAACACTTACCAACTTTCCTTTATTATATGTTAGTAGGTACATAACTGCTCCAAGCGCAATTTCACGATATATGATACCGCTTCTTTACTTGCTTACTTCTACGTAATCTTACTCCTATCGTTTTCTTCACGTTCTCCTTTTTGCTAGCAATGACTATTTAAGCAGGTCTTGGATTCGCACAGCAGAATGATGACATGTCCTAAACAGTGCAAGTGCTCATACACCGTTCAGGCTACGGGCTGCTTAAATGAGTTAATACCCCCCAACCAGGCAACTAGAAGGAGAAAACTTGATCCTGGATGAATTAGGCGGCTATCTGAACAAGAACTTCCGAACAGTCGGAATAACGATACTTGAGCGTTGAATTCACAACTGATTGTTCATTTCCTCTCATCACAGCAGCATGACCTAGCTGATACTCAGACTGACAAAAACATTATATCGACGAAAAATATGTCTTGGCCAGCTGTTAGGGAGATAGGGAGTGACCGAACTATAGGTATTTACCTCGGTGAAGAAGTGAACATTACTCGAAAACTCAGCAATAGGTTAATTCACAGATGTCGTTAAAATAACGCTTAATTTCCCAACAATGACCTTCACTTTACAGACACAAATTTCCGATGTTCGAAATGAATTTGACCTCTGACTTCGGCGTACACATATGTCTTTCCAGATGAAGTCAACTGCCGCCAAATCAGAACAGAACGGTCGTGGCGGCATTTAATATTGAAAACCGAAATACTCAGAAATCAGCTATCAGCTACCAAGTTCTTTTGCATGGCCGCCGCGGGTCACTCTGCGATTAATCCGTATACCGCTCCATCATAGTTCACCTAACTGTCACATTTTGAGAATAACTAATTCAGGTAATTAAAATGGCAACAGAAACTTCAATAAGATTTCAGGCTTTTGATTCTGGGTATCTGGTTATACACATAGGTGGTTGAAACATCCATTCATGGTTCAGGGCACCAAATACAACAGATGGTAAAACCGTTTAATTGCCAACACTTCTCACTATATACGCAGTAGTAGCATCATCAGGGCTGGACTGAATAAAATTGGTTTGGAATTATTTTATACCTTAGGCCGTTGTTCTTGCATGAGAATTCGACTTTCAATACACACGTTATATTCACAGATTTAAATTTTGTAAACCAACTACATAATTTTACTAATCGTCCGAACTAAACACTATAGTGAGAAAGATTGATTAAAAATGTTCTCGCATTTCGTAATGACCTCAAACAGTCATCGCACGGAATCATGAAATGAAACAGAAATGGTCGAAATTCACAAGTCTGACGGTAAATTCGTATCTTACTGCGGTCAGCTTTGCACTGATAAGCAACGATAGAGACACAGTCGGAAACACGATTGAGACAAGCTTTATGAAATTGTACAGAACACAGCGACGAACTTACGATTCGACGCAGAGTTAATGAACAAACGTAATAGTCCAATCATAAAACCAAACTCTGAACCTAGAAATTCACAAATTTGACTAAGAATCTTCAGCTGATATGCAAATGAGGATAAACCAGAAATCGGTGCAGAAACAACTATCTGCCAAAATATACAGCCAAACTCGCGACTTAGAATTTAGCGCTGATTTAATATGTCATGCAGTCAGAAAAATGGAATCGTAAAATGATACGCAAACCTTAGAAATTCAGTAGTCTGACAGAAGTTATGTACTGAGCTTACTGGGAGCTTTCCTGTGAGCTAGATATGAAATATGGCGGTAGAATATAACAGCTGATGCAAGTGACTACAGTCCGATTATATGGAATCAAACTCGCGACCGCAGGACTGCGCGTTATCAACCACTGTCGATCGGCACCAAAGCGGCCCATGCCGATCCGGTCAGAAGTGCGTCAACGCTGGGTGAAACCAACAGAACCTGAATTAGCCCCTAGCGTCGATGGCCAATACGAACTCAATGAGCGTTGTCGACAGGCACTTTCTTCAAAATCCTCACTTCGGCAGCGGAGTGATTTCGAACAGAGGCAGATCTTATTATGACGTGGAACAGGCTTTGTCGTAGCATGACCCTCGCTAAAAGCCAGCAACAGCAGACACAAATCTGAAGCTTAATACGTGACTTCAACGGGAATCTATATTCATTTAGAGCACTTTAATCGTTAAGGCTTTGTTTGACCTTAGAACATGGTTGACGGCCATACGGCTGTTCATAATCTGTACACATGCATGATGAATGGAATTATTCACTACCTCTGTCATCGGAATTTATGGTATAAATGAACCGAGCATGGACAGCGTCAGCATGAACTGTTAAACTTTGCAGTAGACAGCGGCTCTGCATGGCTGATACTCACTACTCGCTTCTTTCTACATATGGAGAATGAACGGTGAATGACCCAAGCGAGGACGACATTCAAACACCGCGACCTTCCAACTACGAGCCCGGTGCACTACCGACCGAACTACTCTTATGTGGGTAACACGCTATTGCCATTAATAACTTCAAAATGTATTTTTAAGTGGTGACGCGAAACAATGAAACGAAACTAATGAATAAGGCATGCAAAACAGCTCTATCAAACGAGCGACGCCATTTTACTTTAAATTTATTACAGTTTATTCCAGAGCAAGTGTTGCTACGCGTAGCGTCTCGCAAGGTCTATCCATCCGACCGTACTCTGCAATTACTGTTTCTAGAACTCTCCGTAACTGGAATTTGTATTCTTCGAACTATTTTGTAAATCCCACAAAACCTCCCAAATGACGAGGTGGTTTCTTGCGAAACTGCCTCGGCGACGGACGACGATATAATTTTCTTCCTTTAATCAGCTAAGACAAGTCAGTGATCCCTATCCTACTTCAGAATTTCAATTCGGCATCCTCAGTATAGGTCACTTCACTTGAGCCAATTACGCAGACTTGTACAACCCCAGGTGTAAGTCATCTACTGACGCGATCCCCTTCTTCTTATTCAAGAGTTTCCACCCTGCCATTTTGGAGAAGCTGCAAAGTTCAGTCTGTCGCACCTTCACGGATTTTTTCATTTCATCCGCTCATGGGTATTTCTTCTATAGGGAAACGCTTGCAAAGTAGTTTTTGATGGAATGGACACTTCTGAATGTGGCTGCTTCGGCGCAGTGGTGTAGTCTGCAGTCTGAACTTATAATTCACGAGTATCCGTCTGTACCAGTTTTCTGATCTATTCCTTACCGTTATGCATCGGAGTAAGACAAAGAGTAGTGGAATCAGCGCCACTGTTTACGACGTTTCTTGACTGGATGCTCCAGCGAATGCGAAGAAACGAAACTGCCGTGGCAGCAACGGGAAGCATCTGAGTAAACTCTGTTCGAAGCGGCGACATCACGGTTCTCAACGCTGAAACAGAGGTGTTCTGATCTGAATCTCTGGATCAACTTCAAGATGAAAAAGCGGACAGAAACTGATAGAAGCCAGACGAATGTCTGTCTGATAATCGACTCCGAAGTTGTGGAATAGGTACAAAAACAGTTGGACATTGACAGTACATTGACTGTAGATGAACGAATGGCAATCGAAGTTAAGCGATCCTGTACGACAGCGTTAGCAGCGAATAAGCGTCAAGTTATTCAAGGTCTGAAAAGACAGCGATGTTGACAAGAGCACCAGGCGACGGATATACAGGGATCACATTCTGAAAATCTTGCTCTATGGCTTGGAGACGTCAAAACTGCACAAAGCTGAAAATAGGAAACTGAATGCGAACGAAATGAAGATTTTAAGAACGGTATTAGGTATGAAACGGTAACACCTGGTGTCAAATGCTGTTGAAAGACAGAGATCAGAATATCAAATTAAAGGAATGCTCGGCTTTAAACAAGGCATTTAAAGTGATGAGACCATGGCCAACGAATGGAAGCCATACGTGTCTTTCGAATTAGATAAGGACAAAAAAGTTCGATTCGATGGAAAGCAGTCAAGAAGTTGACCAGATCTCGTTAAAACTGACATGACATGGAAAGATCTGAAAAGTGACCACGCACATACTGAATCCAAATAGGATGTTCGTAAGGCACCTGGAGTCCGCGACAGGACGGTAGATAGGAAAGAAAAATTATTTGGTTTCAGACTCGTAGCTACAAGATCGTGCAAAACAGCAGCTTCGCCGGTTCCCTAACTGATCACGTCGACATCAGTGCGTTAGCCTTCTAATGAACTTTGAAGCGTCCCTTCCGATGACTTTCATTTCCACTTCGGTACACCACTGGACGACTATACTGCGCTATTCCTTACTGGAAGATTCGAATTTCCTATCACTTTAATATAGTCGCACTGGCGGCATGCAACTCCGCTTTTGCCAGTTCTACGCCCGGATGAGAAAGGAAGACAGCTGAAGGCAGTGGCGAAGACTCCGTAAAATGTGACCACCAGCCCTTCAAGACAATGACGTCATCGAAAATTACACCGTCTCAGTTCTCGATCGGATTACCAGGGCCGCGCAGACTCGTGGAGAACTGAGGAATGGTGAAAAAACTCGGAAATCGCAACCTGCTCATCACCTTCTAGCGGACGGGGCACATCGACACAACAACACCTGCAAAAATCGACGAATCCTACATGAAGATACCAACCAGCAGCGGAGTCGCTACCCGTTCTAAACGGAGGAAACAGACAATGCGATGCAATTACAGCAGGTCCACGAGAATGATACCGACTATGGAAGGTTACAATCGGAAATTGGATTTATCCTCAACTCAAAATAGTTCAACTTCCGCCAAGGCTCTGGAAACCTGAATCTCTGCAGGTGCAAGCTATCCTATTCAAGTATCGACATCGCCACGCGACCTCAGGGCGGTATTCTTGTTCTGGTAGAATCCAGCCTGACTGATAGAATCACTGAATGGAAGCCTGTCAGCGGAACAGTGGCATTCAGCCGACTGAATCTACAACAGGCTAAACCGTTCACCTTGGTACAGGTCTATGCTCCCAATTTGGAGGGACAATATCATACCTTCCTTGAAGAAGTGTAGTGTGCTCTGTTAGAAGTGCCGAATACAGAGTCCCTCATACTCATGGGCGATTTAATGCGCACGTTGGAGTAGACGTTGAAAAGAGGAACGGCCTGATGGGGAAAAACGGCCCTAGCGACCTCAATAATAATGACATGAAGTTGTTACAGTTTTGTGCAAACAACGGATTGTCTATTATGAACACCTTCTTCGAGCATCGAAAAGTGCATCAGTACA